TGCCGTGGTTTTAAAGTAGGAGGGGACAGGATTAAGGATGTGTGTGTGTATGTGTTTTCTCTCTTGATTTTAATTTGAAATAAAATCATATGAATTATTTGTAAAATGTAGCCTGTAGAGAGACCTTGAATCTTTAAGCACTATTGTATTTTGTTTTTAACAATACTGCAATAAAAGAAAAAATACATTTTGTCTTCTTGCTGCCTTTTAATCATCACTTCACAGCCCATGGGTATCTGGCATAATTTTCAGTAACCTCTATAAATAATAATAATAATAATAAAAATAACAAAAAGAGTGAGGCAGTGGGGTATCTTCCATGAGACAATTTTGAACATTCTAGTCTTACAGTTACTAACTGATCTAGTTTCTTTTTAGATCTAGAGCTTTTGTAACGGTTATTTGGTAACACTTTACAATAAGGTCTCATTTGTTAACCTTAATTAATGCATTATCTAACATGAACTAACAATGAGCAATGCACATTTTTAAATGTTTACATATATTTACTTTTTTTTTACATTTATTGTGCATTTACTTCTGTAAATATATATATATATAAAGAGCTGGGTAGATTACTTGAAAATTGTAATCCGTTACTGATTCCAAATTACATGACAAAAATTGTAGTCAGTAACGTAATCCGTTATATAATCAGATTATTTTTGATTACTTTTAGATTACTATTGACCTAACTAGTTTATCATATTGATTTAAATAGGGTAATCTCGTACCATATTGATAGAAAAATGCAAAGAAAAAGAAAATATATTACATTTCTTATTAATATAATGAAGTGCACTAAACATTATATTATGGCAAGGTTTCCTAAACTGGGGCTCGTGAAGGAACTACAGGGGGTTCATTAGTTTAATGAAAAGCTAATAATAAAATCATAAAACTGTAAAATTAAAATAAATCATTTTAAAATAACAACAATCAAAATAAAACACTTACTAAAAAAATAAATAAATAATATGTTTACCTGCATATCATGTGACCATTAACCAACATCAGAGAACCGTGAACATGCTAATGTGATTTAATTATTAACCTATTACCTTAAAATCTCGGGGGAATTCAAATAAATAAATTAGATGAAAGAGATTTGGCTGACAAAAAAAAAAAAAGTTTGGGAATCCCTGCATTACTGTACATGTAAATAAGAAATAACGTGAATTTGTGCATTTTAATGTGTTTGAAAGAAAAAAGCCTTCCAAAGACAGTAATACATGGTTAAATACTGAGTGATAGCCTAATTCAAATACAAATTAATGTGTTCATCAGTTGATGCCATGTTGAAATGTTGAGAAAACACTTATTTAAATTAAAATGATTTTTGTAAATCATTGTAAATCATTGGTCAAATGCTGTGTGGGCTCTCAATTGTCTGCAATTACAGCCACCAGACCAGTGACTGGTCTTTGTGTGAATGTCCACAAAACTGGAAGACTTTCTGAATATATATAAGTGGTAGGCTATTTTAGAAAGGAACAAATTATGAAAAAGAGGAGTAAGGGAGAATCGCTATTGTGTAAATATGTAATCAATAAAAAAGTAATCTGTAACTGTAATCTGATTACGAGTATTTTAAAATGTAATTTACTCTAATTACAAGTACTTAATTTTTGGAATCCAGATTACATGTAATCAGTTACTACCCATCTCTCTCTCTCTCTCTCTCTCTATATATATATATATATATTAGTAAATGTTGAGACTACAGAACAGCATAAATGAGTACACCCCCTCCGAACATAAAGATATATTTCTATTTCTTAATTATCACTGTTACAATTTGTGGGAAGATGGCAACATTTAAATATATTAAAATACTTAGTTAAAAGAAACAAAAATATATATCATTTTCAAAATAAGTAAATTAGGCAATTTTGCTTAAAGGGGTCATATAATGTTTCTAAAAAGAACATTATTTTATGTATTTGGTGTAATGATATGTGTTTATGTGGTTTGAGGTTCAAAAAACACATTATTTTCCACATGCTGTACATTATTGTTTCTCCTCTATGACCCGCCTTTCTGACAC